AATATGAGCATGTTTTTTATAGCTGTAGCCACAAGAACCATATACTGTACCGTTTCGACCGTAAGTTCGCGGGGCGTTACGCGTTATGCCGCGAACTTACAGGAAATAAGTTCGTAACCAGGCACACCACCCGAAATTACCATATTTGGATGCTCCCGCCCTAGGCGGGAGCGAAAATTTCCTTTTTAGGCCTTACGGACCCTGAAAATAAGGACCGTGATGCGTTATGCTTTATTGTAAGTTAGGTTCTCGACCCCGCGTTACGCGTTATGCGAACTTGGGGTCGAAACGGTACAGTACACCACGAGTGGCTGTAGCCACACCTCTGGCTAGAGTCAGAAATGAGCATCATACAGTGTATCGGTATAATTCTGCATACCAGAATGAATCTTGCAGTTCTAAGGGCACTCACACATGAATGTCCCCAATCTTTAGCATACAAGATGAATATAATCTATTTTACTTTCAATCTGTCTCCTCGGATTTTTGTCAAATTAACGATGTGAATTGTGTAGTGCGGATTATGCACGGCAGCTCTAAAACACGAATCGGGATGATTCTGCACACTGTGACGTTGTGTGACATGGACCACGCGACTACTGTAGTATTTCGACCATAGGTTCACAGGGTGTGACCTGTGACCTCATGAACATGTTAAGTAGCATGTTCATGGTGGCCAAAAGTGTGTGACCTAATAAAATTATATTCATTGAGATTTTTAACTTTCTGCTTTTTTAGCTTAATTTTACCTATAAAGTAGATACAAACAGCAGAAATAGACAATTTTCATCTCAAATAGAGCAAAATGGAAGAAAAACTACTAAAATTGGGCTGAAGAAGCAAAATTTAGATCAAGTTAGATTTGTGACTGATTTTAGACATGTTCACAGAGCCTTGTGACCTAGTGACCAACTACAATTAGGTTCGCATCATGAGGCCTCGTGACCTGTGATGTGAACCTATGGTAGTAATACTACAGTACCCCGCACACCCCGGATGCAGCTCTGATCACGACCAGCAGCACCCACGATCTACTCAAATTCCATAGTCTCTTCGTCGGAACTGTCCTCTGGATCATCAGGACCATTAGGATCTTGCTCTCCACCATCCATCTGGCTCTCATCCGGCTCAGCTCCTGCCACCTCAGCATTCCGGGAACTGGATGCACCAGAGTTTTTGGGCTTCGCGCCGGGCGCGTCGGGTTTCTTCATCAACTTCGGCTTCTTGGGATGATGGTTTTTGGGAAGGCCCTGCATGGTGAGTTCTTTGCACTGATCCTGCCATTTCTGCACCGCTTCCTTGTGCTTTTCCTTGATTCCTGTCCACCACGCGTCGAATTCCTCCCTCTTCTTCTTCAACTCCTCTCGATCCTCTTTCCGATTCAGCTTCTCTGCCAGTTTGACTGCTTTATCCTCTTCACCTTTCCTCACTGCGTCCTGAATCTCTTTGCTGGTTAAATGCTGACCCTTTCCATCGACAAACAGCTTGGTTTTGTCCGACTTCTTCTGTGTATCCTTGGCCCACAGCGAGTCCTTCATCCGTACCAACGACATGCCTTGCACGATTAGTTGGGCTTGACTACCCTCTATCACGTAGTTCTGGGCATCGATGAAGTCTTTGGAGCGCGACAATGACTTTGTCAGCTCGTCTATCCGCGTTGACATCTGATCTCGAGTCATATACTCATGCGAGGGAGTGGTGAGTAATGACCAATCAGGTTGAGGAAGAGACGGTAACTTCTGAATGACAGGTTGATTGGCTGCAACGAGAGCTGATGCCTGTGTACCGGTAAGTCGAGAGCGGGCTACGAGGAATGACCCAGAGGCTGATGCCGAAAGACCAGCTGTCATAATGCGCATCCGCTTGCTTGGTGTTTCAAGGAGAGCTGGATCGATATCTTCGTCTCGTACTTGGGATACTCTGGATGGGGTCGCCGGCGTTGATGGAGCTGTTCGGACCCGATATGTGAGGGCAGTGGTATGTGTCGATGGTGAAAGTTCCTGTGCAGATGGCTTATAGGAACGCCATGTAGACACCACCACACGTGCAGGAGAAGCTAATGCGATGGGAAACAGAGCCGCCGTCGAAGTCTCCTCACTCGGCTTCATCTGTTCGGGCGTAATGATGTTGGGATTGAATGGATGGATGCCAGTAGCCTCGAAAGCGGCCTTGATGAGATCTGGGGTGAAAGCGCGAAGGTATGCAGCTCCAAATACACCCGCGAAGTCCTCTTTATTAATTCCGCGATGATGCAGATTCTCAAACTTGTTGATCTCGGTTTTCCACTCCTCCTTCATCGTTCCAAAACATGCGACATCAAGGCCTTGTAGTGCATGAGTGCAATGTGGTGGATAACCGTAGAGCTCGATGTTGTGGAGTGCGCCATACTCGAGAAGGGACGATGTATAGTGGGACCCATGCCCATCAACAAGAAGTGCGCGTACATCACCATCTGCTTTATTGCGTGTGGCTGCATCAAAATCCTTCTCGAACCAGCTCCGCCCGAGTGCACCATCAGTCCAGCCGTTGTCGGAGTATGCAAATCTTGATGATGGTAAGAACAGGTTTACATTTGATGAATTGAGAACTCACGATGCGCCAGCAACATTGTTTTGATTCCACTTCTTCATGAAGTTCTTGCCTTTGAAGATGATCATAGGATGTAGTGCTGTTCCGTCGGCGCATATGGTAACAATGACAGTGACATTTTCGCGATTTGCAGTGCCTTGTTTGTGTTGTGTTTTCGTTCCGCGACGCCCAACAACACGTTGGACACCCTGGTCAGATGGCGGAAAGCCACTCTCGTCCATGCCATAGATATTGTGCGGTTTGATTCCACGGTCGATAAGCTGACGTTTAACGAGCTCGAACCATGCTTTGACAACTATGGGATTCAAGGACCGTGCGTGCTGCGTATCGAGAGGCTTGCTCCAGTGAGTTTGAAGGCGAGCATCGTGTCGATCTAAGAAGTAGCCAACCCACTCCTCTCCCACGGGAGGCAATCCGTGCACTTCGAGTAGAGCGTTGGCATGAAGTGTGATATTTTTTCGAGTAAGAGGGATGCCACGGTCTGATGATTGTTCAATGAAGTCAACGAGAACATTTTCCTGAGCAGGTGTGAGGCGTTGTTTTGTAGCTCCATACTCAACTTGAGAACGGGTTCCCTTGACACGTCCTGAGAGTGTTCTGTACTTGACATCGAACTCGTCTGCAATAGGACGTAGTCCACGACGCGTCTTCGGAGACTTTAACAGCTCGTGGTGATACGCGGCCACAGCTTGTGCCATACGCGTCTCCTTGTCTCGGCGCTTTGCTAGATGCTTGACACGGTCGGATTTCGCGTGTTTTGCCATCAGAACACGTTGACTCGAAAGGGAATGAGATGTCTAAATGAGGAGATCACAAACACTGCCGTAGGGACCATACACGGCATCTTCTTAACTGTACAGTTCCTTCGGAAGGTCCTGAACATATATTCCATGCAACATGACAGTGAGACGACTTACAGTCATGTCAAGCATTGATGTATACCATGACATCCCAGACATCTACAATGTCGATGAAGGCAAGTGTATTCAGCTTCTTAATCAGACTGGCCCTTACATGCATGACAGGTGGCTTCATCAACAGATTGCGTGCGCAACGTAAATCTACGCGGAATTCTATTGAGACCGACGACATGCCTGAGCTTGTTCCTCAATCCGATGATGAAGATGATGAAGATATCAGAACTCTGTGCGTGTGTACTTAGTAATCCAGCTCATTCTCCATTAATACTTATATCCTTCATAGAATTAGGACTACCAACGCGCCATCGATTGATACCCGAGCCACAGGTGCATGGGCTGCCGATATTCCCATTCTTCTCCAACACGCCACTACTGCTGGTCCCGGCATCACTCCCGTCCTTCATCAGTGGCGTAAGACCTGGAATGCCATGTTCGACCTAGCCTGGATGCTCGGCTTCCAGTCCACCAATCAATGCATGGCCATCAAGGAGCAGCTCATCTTCATCTTCTCCCAGCTTCGAGAGAAGCAAATTGCAGCCTATCCGGGCATCATCAATCAGCACGCCGGATGGAAGAGAATGAGACGTGATGGATGGAGAATTGATGTTGGTTCAAGGCACATTGATGTTAGTAGGCCATTCTTGACTGTAGATGAGATGGTTGTAGACACGGATTGGATGTAACACACGCGAAACCTGTTAATGAGCACGACCGCGTCAGTTGCCTTTTTGGGAATTGTCACGCTGATCGCATTGGATTGTGTTCGGTGACCGATTCCTCATTTTTACCCGTCTGTCGATATTCTCAGCCTAGAATTTTACCCCAAACTGTTCCTTAGGTAGATATACACCTGGCTCAATATGTAACTGAATTTTTTTCGGTCTTTATTTCGCTCAATTCACGCGATTCAATGTCATACTTTCCTGATTTGGGCTAATTTCACTCTTGTTTCGGGTATATCTTCGCTTGCCCTTATGGTGGGCACTCCAAAATCAGACAGAAGCAGGATGAAATAGGGTAGAATACATGGATAAAAAAAACATCTCGGCTAAGTTAACATACTCTCAAGATATTGTCCAGTGTGCAGAATTGTACCGGTTAGGGTGGTGAAGTAAACCCTTGGTTTTGATACACCTCGGGTTTACTGCGGTTACTAACAGTATCGATACAGTATTGAAACTGTCGGGAGTCGGGAGGTAGGTTTCGATACCGGCACGTGATCAATTCACGTGACGGCGCGCTGGCGCTCAGAGAAGCTGAGAGTAGTGGGACAAGGGCGGGATGGGGGCGGCGAGCCGCTGCGCCACATCACGTGTTCAAAACACGTGCTGGTATTGAAACCGTTACTAACGGTATCGAAACTCGGGCCTCCCAGGGGGTCGGTATCGATACCGTTACTAACAGCCCCGGGAGGTTTACTGCGCCACCCTAGTACCGGTGTGCAGAATTGCCCCGATACACTGTATCACTCCAATAATTATTAATAAAATATGCCATCAGCAGGAATTGAACCTGTGACCATGCATATGTAATCAATTAAATAGACACTTTAACCACTCAGCCATAAGCCTTTTAAATATATACATATCTTTAGCACTATATACCTATCTCCACCTATACTCAAATCTTGGTCTTCACTTAGGGCAAGCATAGCTTGCCCTAAGGAAGGGTTTTATTAATTAAATAGCTTAATTAAGCTACTCCTTCAGTGTGATTATTTAACATCTTTGCCCTGCTAACCACTTAACCCCTAACTTCTAACCTCTAACCCTAACCCTATCCTATCCCAAAAAGATCTAACCTAATGTACCTAATTATATAATATTCTGTGCCTGATCACATGACATGTTGTGCCTGATCACATAACATATTGTGCCTGATCACATGACATGTTGTGTCTGATCACATGATGTATTGTGCCTGAGAATGCGACCTTAGACTATGAGGCTCATTTCTGGCTGTAGCCATGAGTCTGGCTATAGACACTTTTGGAGACAACAGGTTTTTGTGGCTACAGCCAGGCGAGACCCTTATATCTACAACTACTGGTGTCTCGTTCGGTCCCGGTTCTTGTTGTTTCAACAAGCTGTGGCATGAACATGACAGATCGTGCACGTCGTTGGCCCCCGCGCAATTGCTCGGGGGTCGGCGGCGGGCACGAAAATGGCCAAACGATGCAAGCACTTTTGCCAAGTACTGTTGAGATTCGATCAATTCGTCACCCCAAGTGACGTGTGACCGGTGCGACGAAATTCTCGTTTCGTCAGATTACTATATATGAACATTCCCGACGCAGCAGAGCTGCGTCCCGAGGCCGTCGGGGGCCCCGCTGGGGACTTTTTAGCGAATTTTACTGTGACAGCCGCTAAATTTCGTCAATTTTGAGTCGCTTGTGACCTGTGACTGACGAAATGAACGAAACTCAACAGTACTTGCACACCCGCGAGGCAAGTACTTACTAAGTACTTGCGAGTACCCGGGTGTGCTGCCGGGTAGCAAGTCCGCCTTCTCGAACGCAAGTATTTGCTGGGCAGGTGTCGGGTGCACCCGGGTATACACTCGTGCCTTTCTCTACCATAATCCCGTTTGTACTTCCTCACCTTGGCCCAAATATTGTGCACATCGGCCATCCCCCGCGCAATTGCTCAGGGGTCGGCGGCGGGCACGAAATGGCTCTCCATTCCTCAAGGGTACGGGTACACCCGCCACCCTTCTCGTACCCGAGGGTAAAATGACAGGTAACCCATACCCGAGCGTCGAGTGCGGGTATTGCGTCGGGTTCAGGTCGGAAGTGCTCACGAGCACCCGTACCCGACCCGTGCTATTCACTACCCACTGCGCTGACGATTGTCAGCCAGCTGTAGGGTGTGTTTTTGGCCTCGGCTTTGTGCCGGGCCTGCTGCTGCTGGCTTTGTGCCAGTAGCAGAGCTGGAACACGACCCGTTGCTTGACTTTAAGTCAGCAATGACACTATCAGCGCTCGACTTCAAGTCGGTGTCGACATGACCGGCGCTCAACTTTAAGTCAGCGTCGATGGAGACGACTTTTAAGTTGTTACCAGGATGCGTAAGCCCCGCAAGCAGGCAGCACACGATCCAGTCACTAGATCGCGGCGCCGATGATGGATGAGGACAACAACAACAACATGATGATGATGATGATGATGATGCAATGAGGCAGATGCGATGTGATGTGCGATGAGGTGGATGATGCGAGATGGATGCGACAACGAGTCACTCGGAATTGACCACCACCACCACCACTATCCTTCCACCACCACCATCACCATCCTTCCATCATCACCCCCACCATACCCTCATGTCCAGCTGACTGTCCCCGTGCCATTGCCGGGGGATGCTCACTGCACATGAATACTTGGGGCGTATGGACTCACGAGTACTTGTGAGTATCCGAGATGACTCGGACTTATGGTGAGTACTCGCGAGTCGAGTCCAATGCGAGTCTGAACTGGACTTCTTTTTGTGTGAGTACTTACGTCACGAGTCATGAGTCTGACTCGCGTCGGACTCGTTGAGGTCTCTAGTCCCCGTTCAAGAGGCTATGGGCCCCGCTTGCACCTAACCAATCTTAGAGTCACACATCATCTTAGAGCCATATCTCGGAGTTCCCACTTTCATTCCATTAATACAAAAACACACACACATTCACACCATCATCATTCCACTTCCACTTCACCACGATGTCTGGCCTTTCCAGCAACATATACAACATGAACACTTTCCTTGCACTTGCCAGAAATGTAGACAAACTCGATGCCGATAAGCCAGAGAGATGGAGCACTTGGAAAAGCGAGGCACTCCAGACTGTTCTTGCTGCCGACGGCGTCTCCATTCACATCATCGATGGCATGACTGCTCGCCTAACCAAGGTGGAGGATGCTGCTACCTGGGACCAGCTCAATACTCAAGCTGAGTTCATTCTCTGCAACATGTCTCATCCCAACTGTCGCGATCTTCATGCCAATGCAGTTGGTGGTTGTGCAGTCTTTGCCGCCCTTGTCGCCCACTTCGAAAAGTCATCCTTCGGCACACGTTCATCCGCCCACGCCGCATTCCACCGTGTTGTCCACGATACCTCGAAACCAATCTCCATCTACATTCAGGCGATTACTGCTGCAGCTAAGCATCTTCAGTTCTTACTTCCAGGGGACGAGGAACTCACTGAGAGCTACATCAAGGATGTGCTCCTCCAGAACTTAGACAAGTCATTTGGTTCAACTTGGAGCACATTGCTGGCTCAGCCTGGAGGGGAACCCAATCTCAAAACCTGCAAGGAGGTTCTGAATACGGCCGTTCCTGACAACTTTGATGCTGACGAGGAGGCGGAGAATCAGGAGGAGTGTCAGTCTGCGTCGATTGCACTGACTGCTCGTGTACGTCGGTCTGGGTATGGAGGGAAGGGAAGGGATAGAGAAGGAGCTAGAGGCAGTGGTGGGGCTGGATATGGTTCTGCCTCTAGAGGGGGAGGTTATGGAGGAGATGATAGAGGAAGAGGGGAAGATAATTGGGGAAGAGGGGGAGGTTATGGTGATGGTCAAGGGTTTACGGACAGCCGAGGGAACCGGTGGGGTGATATGTCCATGGACGGGTGTCATCGCTGTGGAGGGATGTCACACAAGGCTGCCTGCTGTGTGAAGGATATGCCGCAGGAAGTCAAGAACTGGTGTCTCAATCGGACATACGACACGGCACATATCACTCATGACACTACCCATTTCACTCAGGATAAAGTCTACTTTCAAGCTGATGCCATGGATGCCTATGACAGTGACGATGATGGATTTGCGACAGACTTCAGTGGATGAGGAAGTTGTCAAAAGGGGGAGCTCTTTTCAGTCTTGCAGAGGGGGAGTGTTGGCATTGGTATGATCGGCTGCTCGGCTTACAAGAGCTGCTGGTAAACATGTACATACTGTAGCTATGACTTGATCATCGCGGAATGTAACGGGGCTTTTCCCGCCATCACCATCTCAGAGTCTCGTCCCCATTCAAGAGGTTGTCTCCAGAAACAGACATGGCCGAAGTCGACAGATAGTGCAGTGGTTTGTCAAGAGCGGAATGGGTCCCAGGTGATCAAGCTAGGCTTGTCCGGCATTGACGAGAGAGAGATAAAATAGTAAGTAGAGACAAGATGTCAAAAATATGTGAGGAAAAGGTAAACCTCACACGAGAGCACTCCGGGAATGACAGTTGTAGCGTCTGTGATTCTAGAGTAACTAAGGGACAAAGCAAACGAGTGACAGGCGTATATAGGTAGCTAGTAAATCAAATAGAAAGAACGTGGTATCGGGGACCAGACCGTAAGCCTAATCGTAACAGTCACGATCGTTGGGCCCAATGTTCGACTTCACATCAAAGACCTCATTCCTCCTCATTCGGACGCTCAAGCGTTATCATCCCCCTTGCGGGCTTACTTTGGAGACCATTCGGAAGATCGGCCACCTCACTCTTGGAAAGGAGAGCGGACCGACAATGGACGATGAGGTTTGAATGGCCTGAGCTGACCCGCACTACCTAGTGCTGCTACCCTCATCTAGTAGTTCTTATGCATACCACACCACTTACTTCCTGCATTTGAAGGCCATATCCATACACTGATATATATTATATTTAGAGAGAGCCCTACAAGGAACTACAAATACAACTGATTGATGCATATAATGAATGTTAAATAGCTATGCGCGAGATAGAGATGCTGTATGTAGGTAATCATAACTTGAATGTCGTGTCCACCGTGTCCGTAATATGTATGTAGTATGAATTCCATGTGCGATGCAGTATGTGTCGTAAAGTGGAAAAAAGAAAGAAAAAAATCAAAGCGAGGTAGGATCGGTGCCGTCGGGCTTGAAGCGGAGTCGTGCGAGGAGCAAGGTGACATCCTTACTGCCGTTCCTCGAGACTTTGCTATTGGAGATAGAGCCGCCGGGAATTGGCTCATGGTAGGACGGTCCGCCAACGATCTCGGTATCCGTCTTGATGACACCCCATGGCATGTTATTCTTGGCAGGCAGGACGTTGAAGCGCGCCTGAGGGAACATCAGACGCTATGCCATGAAGCGAAGATAAAACAACGTACGTGACCATCCGGATGATTGTGGCTAACGAACAAGGCATAGTCAGACGCGCTCAAAGTCCCAATGACTGACAATAGTAAGAACACGGCGCTACGAAGATGAGAATAACTCACCAAGAAAGACATCCTCTCTCTGAATAGGATGGTGCGGCCCGTAAATGGCCAAGATCTCGTCAATCGTCGCCTTGAACCACTTCTTGGGAGCCTCTAGGTTCTCGAGATACTTATACGACGTCGACTCCGTGTACATGAATGCCGTCTTGTGTCCAGCACGAAGATGGTGGGTATATCGAGTCCTGGAGGGCGAATAATTCAGTTCATATCAACCAAAGGTAAATGTAAAACGTACGATGGTCCATCCGGTCGCCTGAAGATACCGGTGATGGCATCGAAGCCTCTCTGCGCCGCATTTCGTTGATCATAACGAGAGCTCTGAGCCGAGACTGAACCATATCCATGAACAGAAGGAAGGGTAT